AGAATAATATGCAGGATAATTTAAACTCCATTACTATTTTATGCATATCCCCATTATAGCACTTATCACATCTTGCTGTAATTTTTTGTTTACATATCTGTCTCTTCCACTTGGCTTTGAGCTCCTCCAGGACTTAGGCTATGATTTGACTCATCTTAGACTCTGCCTCCTCCTCTGTACACAACAGCTTAGGGCTCTGAACATAGTAGGTTTTTAAATCAATGAGTCAGCTTTGAGAGACTTAACAATCAAATATGCCTGCTATGTATGTATACATCTATCCATAGATATTTTTATTGTAATTATTTGTTTTTGAGAAAAAAGTAAAACATTTATACATTTATTGTATATAGCCTGAAGTTCTAAAGTGTGTGTATGTATAAATGGTTAAATTAAGTCCATTAATAGAAGCATTACTTTTTATATAGATGCACATACCTTTTGTGGTAAGAATGCTTAAAATCTTTTGGCACTTTTCTTCTTAATGGTTGAGTTTATTTTTTGGCAACTTGTATATGTACATAATGTATTCTATTTACTTTTCATTCCCACCCTCCCCTGTTTCCTTCCTACTGTGGTTACCAATTCCCTCCTCCTTATGGGTCCTGTTCCCACATTCTTACCTTTTTGTTTTGATTTTAATCGGGACCATCTGTGTGGGCCATGTGTGGAACTATCCATCAGAGCAGGGATTCTCAAACTTCCTGACGCTGAGACCCTTCAATAGAGTTTTTCATTTTGCGGTGACCCCCAACCATTAGATTATTTTCATTGCTACTTCATAAGGGTAATTTTTCTACTGTTATGAATTGTAATGTAAATATCTGTGTTTTCCCACGGTCTTAGGCGACCCCTATGAAAGGGTCATTTGACCCCCAAAGTGTTAGAGGGCTGGGGTTGGCTCAAGTCTGGCTACTTCCTGCGGGCATGGGGCCATGTGGGAGAGGGGAGAGCTGGGAGTTGTTGTGCTCACACTCAGTGGAGAGGTGTGGCTAGGGCAGTATCTGGGTTGCTCTCATCCTGGAGTCCTCAGACAGCTGGTTTTTGAGGGAGATGAGAAGGTAGGTGGCAAGAAGAAAAAAAATTGTTATTATTGGCCCTATGAAATGGGGCTAGCCATAGGATAGGTATGATAGCAGATAATACAATAGCAATATGATAGCAAATAATGTATGATAGTATGATAGCAGCAGCAGATAAAACCAGATTTCAGTTGGCAGGTGTCCTTGATCCAGAAGAATAGCACTTTGTGGGTTGATCTTGGCCCACGCACATCTTGGTGTCATTGCAAAAGATTCAGTGTCATGGATGAAGTAATAAGTTAACAGTACCTTAAGTTGTCAAATGCATTAGACAGATCTGGGAGGGATAAATGAGCAAAAATGAGACAGCATTTTAGCTACACAGGCAATCCCAAATCCTCTCCTTGATCCTTGGAGAAGAATAGTTCTAGAAGCAGTGCTTGCCAGTCTGCCAAACCCAAAGGCGAGGCCTGGAGGCAGAAGGTCTTCTGTCTTCTTGGAGGAGCTAAAGGGTGCTGCAGAAGCTGGCATGTCAGTGTTAGAGGCTCTTTTTGTTAAAATGCCATACCCTCAGATCTGTAAAGACATTTAAGAACGAAGTACTATTACCTGTTATTTAAACTGGGCATATAAGCTAAGTTTAGGTGTGTATTTTATCCAATAAGTTATAGTTTACCAATGCTAGTAAATGTAAGAAGATTAAAAGGAATATTTTAATAAGTCAAATAATCTTAAAATGAGCATACATGCACTCAGAAACATTTATAAAGTTACACAGACTTACTGTGACCACATTATTTTAACAGAGAGGCAAATAAAGCATTTTTGGAAACCTATGAAGGCAGGCTGCAAAAGTCTGAAAAGCATAGAGGTGATTCCATTAAGGACCAGACTAGCAGATGCTGCAAGAGGGACAGGGCAGAAACATTTTTTTAAAATCCCAGAGTGAGAGAAACAGTAAACAGCTAGGAGGGCGGAAGGGGAGCAGAGTGATCCCCGAATAGCACACAGGGGCAGAGAAGCATAGCAAACAGCTGATGGGCGAGCGCCATTCTGAAGGGATCGGCAATGGCTTCCCTTGTCCTCACCAGTTGTGTTTAGCACCCCCCCCCCCCCCCCCCCCCCCCCCCCCCCCCCCCCCGCCAATCCAGGACTGGATGGGAGCCAGGCATGCCTTCAGGAACGGCAGAGCCCCACAGGCTATGGAGAGGCAGAAGTGGGAGTGGGACAAACCGTGGGCTCAGCGGAGAGGAGAGACAGAAAGGGAGGGCAGGAGTAAGCATCTAGAAACCCTGGGTTACGAAGCCTTAGACAGCCCCAATTTAAAAGGATTTTTTTTGTAAAAGGCCGCTCAAGAGCATTTGAGTAATTGGCTTTACAATGATGGTTAGTTGTTGTTGGTGTACGCCTTTAATCCTAACACTTGGGAGGCAGAAGCAGGTGGATCTCTGAGTTTGAGGCCAGCCTGGTCTACAAAGTAAATTCCAGGACAGCCAGAGCTACACAGAGAAACCCTGTCTTAGAAACCCATGAGAGAGAGAGAGAGAGAGACAGAGAGAGACAGAGAGAGAGAGAGAGACAGAGAGAGACAGAGAGAGAGAGACAGAGAGAGAGAGAGACAGAGAGAGAGAAGTAAACCTGGGAAGGGGGACACTGAAAGAGTTGTAGGTGGAGGGGCAAGAGTGAGGTGTAGTGCTCATATATGAAGTTCTGGGAAATATTATTAAACAAACAAAAACAGAGAAAGGAACATCCACAAACTAGTCAATTCCTGGCAAAGGGTACTTGCTTGCTAGGTAGTTGTTCAATACCAATATGAATATTGGGACAGATATCTGAATGTGTCATGAAAGCATATCTGATCATCATCTAGGAATACTACATTGTAATGCAGATATGGTTATGATCTAGATTCTCTTTTGGTGACAGTTTTGAGCCGAGTTTTATTAAAAAATGCAAAAACGCAATTTAGAAGCTACATAGTTTTTACCTACATATATCACACATTTTTATTTATTTCAATGCTGGCAATTAGTTGGACCCCCAAAACAAATATGAAATACAGTACAAACACATTTAAACTCATCAACATTAATGAGGGGTCCCCTTGGCAAATGTTTAGTGGTGAGAGGCCCATCTCTGGCTCTGAACGTGCACCAGAGATTTAAGTTTTTATCTTCTCTGCCTTCCCATCTTTGCCTTAATCTTCACTCACCTTTGGTCTTCCACTGGAGACAGAGAGACTTTTCTGATAAGATAAATACATAAGAGGCACTTAGGGGAGAGGAAGCAATGGAAAGGGAGCCAGCAGGTATGCAGAGCAAAGGTTTCTCTGTGCTCTAGAGATTCACTAGTGACAGGAGTGGACCTACTCTACCTCCTCACCCCTTGCCCAGCACATCCTTTTAGCATCAACGTCATTACAGTATTTAAAGTGCTCAGGGAACTGGCATGCCTACAGCACTCAGAGCCATGCTGACAGGAGAGGGAGATGTCATTGGTACTTGCAGTTTTAGCCTAGGCCATGGAATTTTGCAGAGCGCTGTCCCCATGTCCTGGATTGCTCTCTCCAGAGTGAAGGGTTTCTGTTTTAAATGTTTAGGCCTTACCCAGACTCATGGGGGTGTGGGGGGAGTCCCAACTCTCCAAGTGATGGTTTTAGTAAGAAGTGCAGGCTATAGGTAAGTCCTGAGGACATAAAGACAGAGCCTTCCCAGATAGTATTCTAGCCCCAACAATGTCCACAGGCACCTGCTTTGCCCCTTTCCCATGAGAGGCCATGGTGAGAGGATTATATGTGTTAACCAGAGAATAAACCTGGACCAGACACTGAACCTGCCTGTGCTTTGGTCTTGTAATGCTCTCCTCTAAAAACAGGAGAAATAAATTTGTTTATAAGCCTACAACTTTGTAATATGTCATTACAGCATTTCCAACAGACTAAGAAATGGCTACCCTGCAGACATGCTGGCTCAGAACCACTCTCCCCTTGCCTATGAGTTCTAATGTTCAGTCTAGTTGACTTTTCATAGATTAGTTCTGGGTTTCTTTGAGTTCCCAAAGCTCCTTGAAGTTCTTTTTCTCAGTTCTTGTAAACCCTGGTGACGTCATCAGTAGCATCAACTGCAGACTTCCCTAGTGGCACCAGGGGCATTTCGCAAGGCATTTGTTCAACCCTCAAGTCAGTTACCCAGGGAAACAAACTGGTGATGTCACAAGGCTTGCCACTTGCTCTTCTCCTTCAGGTCCCTTCTGCACTGGCTGAGGTAGGGTCCTGTCTATTGCTCTCCCAACCCAACTGTGTCTTGTATTCCCCAGGGCAGTGCAGAAGCCCTTGCTTTCCCCCAGCCAGGTCTACATTCACTCAGTTCTGCTGGCCATGGCTATCTCCCTACGCTTCTTCCCTCTGGATGCATAAATGCTATGAAAATGGAATGTCTAGACATCTTTTGTTCTCTAGTATAAGGGTGGGGAGATTGAGACTCCCTCCCTGTCCCTAAGCAATCAAAAAAAAAAAAAAAAGGCTGTTTCAAGCTTGATATTTAAGCTTGATAATACCTCAGAGGTTTCACAAGTAGAAGGACCACACCTGATTCCCTTATCTTTCTTTGGGCCATAAACACACCCAAGTCTCCAAGTCTCTACTTCCTGATTTCAGAGAACGCTTCCCTTCTTTATGGGACACCATCACAACCTTTGACCTTTCTGAGAAAATGAAAAGGAAGAACAGAGGTCTGGAGGTTTACAGAGACGTCGTTTTTTAAGAGGTCATTTAGCAGGCGGTGCCCTGTTCCAAGTGCAACTCTTCTTTGTTGCTCGCCACAAAGCTGTTTTGAAATATGTGCAAACGGTCAGGTTATCTAACTGCAGCTAACTATCCGAAAGATTTCCTCCCAAGGTTATAAGAAAAGGTGCCTAAGAGAGAAGCACAATCCAGCCTGTGTTGAAACTCACTCCCAGAGGACTTTGTTTCTACAGCTCTCCAGCCTGAGCAGAGAGCAGCGGTGGCTCCCGGGACTCAGAGGCAAAAGCAGAGAGCTAGCACACAGATTCCAAAGCCATGACAAAGACAACCACTTGCATCTATCACTTCCTTGTTTTGAACTGGTACGTCTTCCTCAATTGCTACATCCCACATATTGGAAAGGACAATGAGAAGTTAAAGGAATTCCATGATGGCGGACGGTCGAAGTACTTGACGCTCCTTAATCTGGTAAGTCTGTGTGTCTGTATCTGGAACCAGGTCAAGCTTTCCCACGTACCATTTTACTAAACACAAGCCACATATATGTCTTCCTTCTTCATGGTTGGTGAGTTTGGGGCTTCCCCTGTTATTCAACAATTTGCTCTGGGGCACTCAGTCTGGAAATGCTCCATAGCCACTGGGGTGTCTAATTGTACAATGCTCTCTCACAAAATCTCTTGGAGTCCAACTGGGGGAGCACGGGCTTGAGTACAACACACAGGCGAGAACTCGAGCCCTGCCTGGGACTCTGAAAAGAAGGCAGAGCTGTCACATGTTGTGTAGGAAGTGTGACTTCCACTGGAGGAATAATGTCCTTTGACAGCACACAGCGACTCACAGATTTATCTAAGAAAAGCAAGCGCATTTGCCACCTTCCTCTCCCACTACACTTTTTTATAGGCTCAAGTTCCATCTGAAAGGAGAGAGATTACCCAAGCCAACAACCAATACACAATTTCAACTGTTTTAAAACCAAACTTTGAGCTTAATCCCTTCTTGCCTTCTTAACCTGACTGGCCACGTGCTACTGAGCAAAGTCTGAATGACTGGAAGAAAAACTGCCTTGTAAGAAGGATTGTAGGGGAAATAATATATTTTTAACACACACACACACACATATGTTAAAAGATAAAATTGGAGCATCTTTCAGACATGGGAATTGACATTTAAGTCTTTGTCATTGGTGCTAAAATACACAGTTCCATAAAAGCACCTGGTTTCAGGGAGCTGGAAATAATATTCTTGTTTTCAAGATTTATTTTTTATTTTATGAGCATTTTACATGCCTTGCCGACATGTATTCATCTGTGCCGCACATATTTCTGGTGCTTGTGGAGACCAGAAGAGGGCATTAGATGCTCCGGAACAAGAGCCACAGATGGTTGTGAGCTGCCCTGTGGGTGCTGGGACCTGATCCCGGGTTCCCCGGGGCGGCAGCAGGTATCCTGAACTGATGAGCTGGTCCCTGCAGCACATCCTGCGATTGGAATATGCTCATCCTTCGGAATCACAATCCTCATTTTGTAATCAGGGCAGATGAGTGGCAGAAAGAGGGACTGGAATGTTGAGTAGGCAGAAATGGTGAGTTCAGTTTGAAGAGGCGTTTCTTTGAGGCACTGGCCCCTTGCTTCTGGTCTTGTGTTCACCTTTTGGTGACATATTAGCCTGAATATTTTGAGTTCTGGGCACAGCTCTCTAGCGCCAGAAGGCGTCAGGTTGGCTGTTTGTTTCAGTCCTGAGATTTTACGAGGAAATAAGTCGAATAGTGAAAAAAGAAAAGAGAAACTGGTTTATAGACCTCTCAGCACTAGTTCAAAGAGTGGGGTTTGTAACTCTGTCGGGTCACCTGGGGCTGTCTGTCTATCCATGTGTAATTATTAAACTCAGGCCCCAGAATGGCCATCCTACTGCCCAGAATCACAGGGCAGTGGGACAGACTTTGCACATAGGTCCATAAGCCACCTCCCTGACTTCTTTTGCCTTTTAATGCAATCCCCCCAACACACACGTCATTTTCCGTCTACTAGCCTATCCTACTTAGATGTTGTTTAGAAGTTATAACATTTTTGTTTATTTTGTGTGCACGGATGTGTGTCGGTGTTGGGGTCCTGTGTACCACAATGTAAAGGTCCAGGCGCAACTTTCGGGAGACAGCTCTCTACTCTGACCGTTTGGGTGCTTAGGATTGAACTCAGGTGGGCATGCTGCGGAGAAAGTATCTTAAAGAGAATCTCACAAGCCCAAATCATCTCAGAATTTAATCTCATTTTCTGCCTTCCTGTCGAATTAGCCACCAAATCAAATTCCATTTGTTTTCCTTTTTGATGGACCCGCCTTCCCCTCCCCCACATCCCCGCCTTACTCCTTGTCCTCTTTCCAGACTCGCTAGTTGGCATCGGAGGACCATTAGCCCTGTATTGTCCCTTGCTCCTCCGATGTGCAGGTTCCAGATTGGTCTCCCTAAGCTCTTTTTTTTTTTTCATGAATTCCTTTTAACATGGTGGCCTTTTTTGAAATAAACAAAACCAAAACCAAAAACAAACAAACAAACAAACAAAAAAACAAACTCACCTCTTAGCTCCCCTTCTTCCCAGGAAAGCTGGTGTCTCTTAGAGAAAGGCCTCTGTCTCAGCAGCTATTCCCACAGATGTCCCTCCTCAAGTCTCCGCTCATATCCCCAAACAAAGGCCTCCTGGCCTCTGTTCACCAGTTTGCTTCCACAGACGACCTGAAATCCCAGGTCTGGTATAGCAGTACTATTTTCTAGTCCCCTCCCTCCTCTTCATGTGAATAGAGAAAACAATTGAACTCTTACTAGGTCAAAACCAGTTCTACCTCATAAGTCCTTATCAACCCAGGCCACTTACAGTTTTCCACCGTGTTTGCCAGGAGAGCAGGGCGTAGGGCACTCGTGGACTAGAACTTTGCCCACTTGGTATGTTGTAAGTGTGGCTATGTTTTCTACTTTGCTGAGTTGATATCTCTCTGGCAGCTTCCGGCCCCAGCCTGTGAGCAAAGGAGACGTTACCTGTAATGATTTCCTTTCTAGACTCCGTGAGTGTTCCCCACACCTGACAAAGATGGGTTAAGCATATTTTAGGGGACCTATCTAAGAAGAGTTTTCAAGTAGTGTAGTTCTAAGAAATGTTTGAACCTCAAAACTTCCACCTCTTGAGATCTCACGGGTTTATTTAGTTTTTGAATGGGTTTATATTTTGTTTGAAATAAATTGGTCCGGCTGTAGAGGTCTCCTAACTTACTCTAATACCCATGTTTATTTTACTTCACCTTGGTGACATCAATATCCAATCCAACTTAGCAGGAATTGTAAATTTTATTATATTGTATTTTATGTGGTAAGTTTTCTGCCTGCGTGTTTGTATGTGTTCCATGTGCATGCAGTTCCTGCAGAAACCAGAAGATAGGCAGATTTGAACCATCACGTAGATGCTGAGAACTGAACCCAAGGTTTCTGTAAGGGCAGTAAATGATCTTTAACACTGAGCCACCTCTGTAGCCCATCAATTTAGCAGGGATTGTATACCCCTTCTTTTAATTTATATTGTTTAGTTAATCAAACGTAACTATTTCAATGCCTTTGTAATACACCCTGTTCGTCATGCTAATCTTTTGTGTGTTTTCTCGTGTTAGCTTACAAACTAAATGGGTGTCATTGAATTTTCGTACAGGCTTTGTTTTTGTTGATCCCCACCTACACTTCCCCCCTCTGCCCTCCTAGTCGTGTCCCCTGTCCCCTCCTCTTTGTCCCCAGTAGCCCCATTCTCCTTTCCTGTCACGTGCACCACTGTCTTTGTTTTCTTCCACTCCACGACCTCTCTTCCTCCCTCCCACAGTCCCTGTCTAGCTTCTCGACTTAGACTCTCCAGCCCACGCGTGGAAACGGTGACATCTGACAGGTGAAGGAAAACCTGTCGCGTTTGTCTTCCTGTGTCTGGTGTAGCTTTCCATTCAGATGCCTTTAGTTTCTAATCGACTGAGCGCACTTCTGCCTCCCTGTTGAATAACAGAGCCTGTCTCATTACAAGTCAGATTTTAGAGCGTGGGCACTGTTTTCCTCCTGAAACTGCCCCCCAGGGAGTCCAGAAAGAAGCCAGAAAAGCTGCCAGAGGTGCCGGTGGCTATAGTAGAATGCTGGTAGCTAAGAAGAAGAAGGCTAGGGGACAAGAAAGTCACTGTAGAGAAGACAGAGCTTGCCCCAGGGAGAGGGTGTGTGCTCTGGTGGTTGTGTCCTTGGTACGGCTTCTTTGGGGCTGAGGACTTTCTGCCGTCCATTTCCACATTTGTTAAACAGGAACAAAATTAGAAGCTAGCAGCATGGTCATCAACTTAGAGGGCCATCGATGTGGTGTAAGGAGAAAGGATGGAAGGGAGATGGGGAGCTTGGCGTTATCTTGTGTTTGATGAAGCTGGACAGTGTGGATCACGGTGACTTAGGTGATCGTGGGTCTCCTTGCTAAGTTCTTAGTGGATGGTAGATCTAGATGAAAGTCACCCACCACCCCTGTAGCTCCTGTGTATGCCTCCCTACACTATACTCTCTGCCATTCAGCTAGAGGAGGATGTTTGTTGAAACACCCTTCTCCCAGCTAGGTAGCTGCTGGGGTAGACGTCCTTGACACTGCTGCTTTGGGGGAGGTATAGCTTCCGGTTCAAGCAGACAGCAGTGAGTATTCGGAGTGAGGAAGTCCCAACAGCTGAGTGTAGAAACCAAGCTATGCACAGTTTTAGTCTGCTTGTGCTGGCTCTGTCGGTGACTACAGTACCCACTTGGGTACCGAGAGGCAAACCCTTGATTTCCATCACTGAGTCAAGATTTTCATCTGTGATGTTCTAGCTTTCCAGAGCCTGAACGACACACTGATGTTGCTCGCAAAGATACTTAGAGATGCTGATTTAGCTCTTGGGTAACCGAAGGGATTAGAACTGTTAGCACAGAGGGAAAGGATGTCTCCAGCACCCAAATAAAGCCGTTTAAATGGACTGAGTAGCCAGGATGGATAGCACTTTGGTGAATTCTTTCCACACAGTGGGGAGATCTGTGTTGAGAGAGGCCTCACTTCTGGAGCTAGAGTACTGGCTGTCTCCTTCCTTACTGTGTAATTCTGAGTGAGTTACCTAACTTTTCCACATCTCGGTTTGTTCCTGTGTTGCAGGGAGGAAAGCAGATCCTCCCACCTCCCCAGAGCTGAGAGATTCATTCCACAGCTCCCAGATGGTGTGTGGGCTTCTGATGGTTCACAGGTGATCTCCCCTCCCAGCAGCACCCTCGGCAGGAGGAAACTGCCTCCACCAGGGTTTAGCTCCTTCCCTGGGGTTGCCAAGGGGGCTGTTCAATACAAGAGCTCCTTTAAGAATCTGTCTGCCCCCAGATCCTTCTCCCTTCCTGTCACAGATACTCTGAGGGTGTTGTCTGTCCTTAATGAATCCCCACAGGCCCATCTCAGAAC